ATATATATATATATATATATATATAAATATTGTCCGTCAAATACTTAAGCACTGAGGTCTGACAATACTAAAGTCAGGGGTTGTCAACATTAGTATTTCTAAAGTGTAAGTTTTCCTATGTTCTCTATTTTAAATTTTAATTGATTGTTATATTGACTTCTTTTTAAAGAAGGTTCGAAGCAGTGTTTCGACACGTTGGACAGCCTTATTTAGGCTGCTTCTGTCTTTTGCCTAGTTTTGGAGTTCTAAACTCAACACAGAGCCCAAAACATCTCCAAAATTAGACTGGAGGCAGGAGCAGTCCATATGAAACTAGGGTTAGTCTAAAGTGATGTTTTAATGAATAGTTTATGCTTGTTGTGAAGTGTGTTTATACTCCTCCTTTAAGGAAGAGCAGTTTAACCCACTGATTGCGAGTGTGCTGTATACGATGTACAGCTGCAGTCAATGGGTTAATTAAATGTTCTCGATTACTACAGTATACTGAACTTATGCTGTTAAAACGAGGATTTTATCACTCTCTTTCATACTGAATATTGCCAACATTACTCGCCAACATGTACAGCTGCAGTCAATGGGTTAATCAAATGTTCTCAATTACTACAGTATACTGAACTTATGCTGTTAAAACGAGGATTTTATCACTCTCTTTCATACTGAATATTGCCAACATTACTCGCCTTGTACCTGGATAAAGACCTATCTGTAGTTTTAGTATAATTTATATTGGCCTTTTCATGTTTTTTTCTAACTTTTGGGCAAAAAGATATAGCTACTATTACAGCCCGAGAGCTCCTCGAGACTTTAGCAAAGATGGAATAACTATATCAAACAAAAATGAGGCAATAAGATTTTCTGCAATACAAAAGTTTTCACCGTGAACTAACTCACGTTCTGTTGATATATAAGAACAAAAAAAAAACTAAACCGTAAGTGAAATATGGGATCAGTTTGTAGTTAAGATAGTATTATCACATCCGAACTGTTTACTGGTGAAATATGGGATTGGTTTGTAGTTAAGATAGTATTATCACATCCGAACTGTTTACTGGTGAAATATGGGATTGGTTTGTAGTTAAGATAGTATTATCACATCTGAACTGTTTACTGGTGAAATATGGGATCAGTTTGTAGTTAAGATAGTATTATCACATCCGAACTGTTTACTGGTGAAATATGGGATTGGTTTGTAGTTAAGATAGTATTATCACATCCGAACTGTGGGATTGGTTTGTATTGAAGATAGCATTATCACATCCGAACTGTTTACTGTTTTAATTTTGATTACATTTTCAATGTGGAAATTTTTTAATCAGTAGAATGTGAATTTTCGTTCATATAACAGCATTCCATCAGAACTGTAAAATTTTCTTTTGTTACCAAACCCCCACATTTGTCATTTTTAAAGCTTTTTTTGTTTTCGTGGATTAAAAAAAAATCTGTAGCAAGTGAGAATCAGAACGTTTTATAAATACATATTGCCATTAAAAAAAAAAAATCACTTCCAAAGTGATAACTTGTACCACCTGCTTAAGTTTCGAGTTGCGTGTGATAAAATGGCATTAGCGACTTGCATGATCAGAGAAATTTGAAATGTGGGGTTCACAAGCTTCTGGTGTTTTTAGATTAGGTACAGAGCTGTTATAATTAAACGTGAAACTTAAACAATAAATTGTGTTTTATATATATCCTAAAACGTAGTGTAAAGTTCTTGAACCCCATGGCTGTGATTAAGCCATTTTATCATACTTGAAGAATAACTTACCACAATGAAGCTCGATCTTCACGTACGTTGTTAGGATATACTTGGTTCTGAGATGATTTCTTATTTAAAATAATTCAACATCTTCAAGGTTTCTACGCAGCTATAGATATATCATTTAAATTGTGTTAAAGGATAAACATTACTGAAGTCATTAAGGAAATAGTCTCTAAGATGATTTGGTGGTATTGTAAAATATATTTTGTGTGGTTTAACTGTGTTTTGGCAAAACTTAGATTACTGATAATTAGGTGATTGTACAATGAATTCGTTGTGGATTGTTTACATGCAAGATATCTGGGTAATTCTTCAAACAACGAGCCACAACTATTGTGACGTGTAAATAATAAACATATCTTTTGATGCAATATTGTTACTTGTGGAAAGAAAAAACGTTTTTTTTCCATGCCAAAAAATAAAAAAAAAAAAAAATTAATTTAAGCATAGCTTACTGTGATCCGTCCAGATCCTCAAATATTTATCTGGTAATTTTACAGATTCATTGTATGTGATTGTTGTAGTCATAAATAAAATTATTGACAGTTATACTGTCTCGGTATTCTATTCAATTTTCATAGACTCGAAAAGAAATGTGAAACCAAGCAAAGCAGAGAGTTTAAAATAAAAACAATACGTTTTTACAAAATGGAGGAAGCAACTGTCCGTTTCACAAGCAGTTTAATAATTACTACTGCTACTGTTTCACCAGTAAAGGCATTGTCAGGCAACTAAGTTCTTACGGTTGTTTTCTTTGTGGAATGAGCAAGAGTAAAAAAAAAATTAAGTTGAGTTTTAAAGTATGTTTTGTTAGGTATTCTTTATTAATTAAAAGTTTTACAAATTAAATAAATAAAGTATTCCATCAATAACATACTATCACAATGTTTCAATCTTCAACAACAACAATTTTTATTTACAGCTAAGAACTTCTTATTTTAATTTTATGTTACAGGTTTTACCCATCCTTGTTTTGTACCTTTACCACACTATTATATCAATCTTTGTATCGCTTCAACACGGCCATCATTATCTTGTGTTCATTTCCTTGAAGCGTCAAAACTAGTATAACAATTACAATCTTTTGTGTTTTTTTCTCCTCCTTTCAAACAATTGCTACACCTGTATTTGCGTTCTTAGTCCTAACTAAAACTGCCTCTTTTCTCGCTTCCACACGATCACCATACCTTCGGCATCACTGGAGGCCAGAAGACTTTCGTCATAGTTGAAACAGACATCTAACACGGGAGCAGAGTGGCCTTGGAGTTTGTTGAGGCAGGGCTTTCTCTCTCGTTCCACATCGAAGAAATACACGCACATATCTTCACTCCCTGTAACTAGAAAGTATACACGGTGATGTTATTCTGCCTTAAAGTAATCTTCAAGAAGTTCTAATGTTAAAACATTTGTTTGGCTTCACCAATAGTGATCTGTGTGTGTTTTAAACATTTCAATAGTTACATATACACGTTTTAAGATAATTAAAAATTATTCCTCACATGCTCGAATCTGGACGCTCTTCAGCTATAACTGTTACTAATAAATAAAACTATACTTTTAAAAGTTTCATTGTTATTTACAAGATGGCCTAAAACTTAGAGAGAAAATAATTCTTACTGTATCAAAAAAACAACAACATTGTAAATGACAGCATAACACTTACTCTGGACCACCAAGAATTCTTCTTTATATTCATATCGTTAAGACGGTCTGGTTACCTCTGAACAACTAAAAACTTGTGTTACTACACAAAGAAACAATCGACTAATTATGTCGATCGGAATGAAAAGTTACAAACAGGCCTTACCAACGCAGGCACCTTGACGAAATGATATGATTGGGCAGAAGGAGCTCCGGATTTTGAGATGATGAGAGCGGTGTTTTAGTGGAAATTTTCGTTTCAAGAGAAGGTTTCCATCGCTACGAGTAATACTACAACACAAAATAGAAACTGTGCCCGTTAAAGTTATCACATTCTTAGCATGGATAATCTTTAAAAAAACAAAAACAATTATTGTCATACACTGTACGAAATATAAGTAAACTCTGTAAGAATCAATACTTTATTCCAAAAGAATGTATATAAAACTGACACTGCCTAATGGTGGCATTTCTATGAACTTTATTTTTGTCACATCGTTTATTCCCTAATGATTAGTAGTTCAAGTTTGATGATACATAACAAACACAGCAGGAAGTTAAGAACATTAATGAACTATCAAACCTGTGACTCACCTGAACAACAACAAAACACCAGCAGCACAGTTCACCAACAGAGACGGGTCACGAGCCTCTCTGCTTACCCAGGTGCGTGCCGATAAACACGTGATTGGACTGTTTTCTGCCACTAAGATCCTAATGATGTTAAAGTCAGGTTTGGTGAGCATGATTATCAAAATATAATGACTATTTTACCATCAGTCTCCATTATGTTATGAACACCTAAAAATAACTGTGCAGAAATTAAATTTTTAATATTGGTTTTAACTCCAACTGAAGATATAACTGTCAAAGTTCATAACAATGAGTGTGGGTCGTATCCTACCTTTTAGCCTTTGTCAGACGTCCAGTAGGCAGGTCAAACAGATAGGAGACAATGTATCCCTGTAAAACATTGAAAAGAATTAATACCAAGAGAATATAAACATCTTCCTGAGCAGTCTGGGGCCATCTTGCTTCAGTGGTGTACTTCTTTAGACTGAAAACTATCTTGTCAAATCCCAAGGCTGATACATCGCTAATAAAACATTTTAGATGTGTTCACCTGTGTCCTTTACGGATGAAATCTCAAACTGTTAGTCAATATTTTCATCAACTTAAACCATTTCTTAACTTCTATAGGTGGTTAAAGATCACTACACTATCCAAAATGGATCATTATCCATCACTTAAGACTTCTTTTAAACACTTGTATTATGAATAATTAACATTCTGTTTTAACCAAGAGTATTGTTACTGTTACAATATTCACTTTAATAGTATTATTACTATATACACATTAACTAACACTATTGTTACTACATCCATTTTAACCAACAGTATGGTTACTACATCCACTTTAACCAACACTATTGTTACTACATCCACTTTAACCAACAGTATGGTTACTACATCCACTTTAACCAACAGTATGGTTATTACATCCACTTAACCAACAGTATGGTTACTACATCCATTTTAACTAACACTATTGTTACTACATCCACTTTAACCAACAGTATGGTTACCTACACCCACTTTAACCAACAGTATGGTTACCTACACCCATTTTAACCAACAGTATGGTTACTACATCCACTTTAACCAACACTATTGTTACTACATCCACTTTAACCAACAGTATGGTTACTACATCCATTTTAACTAACACTATTGTTACTACATCCACTTTAACCAACAGTATGGTTACTACATCCATTTTAACCAATAGTATGGTTACTACATCCACTTTAACTAACACTATTGTTACTACATCCACTTTAACCAACAGTATGGTTACTACATCCATTTTAACCAACACTATTGTTACTACATCCATTTTAACCAACACTATTGTTACTACATCCATTTTAACTAACAGTATTGTTACTAAATCCATTTTAACCAACAGAACTGTTACAACACCAAATGTTACCAAGAGTAACATCAAAACAACCACTAATTATTTTGAAGTTACATCAATCATAATTATAGAATAAAACTTATATTGTACTTACAACTCCATCTCCAACCCACAAAAGTCTGCCAGAAGATTCAAACACCAAGGAATACACCTGACCAGTGATTTTACTGCTACCACCCTGAGGTAAACAGAATTAACTTTGCTGAAAGTCAGTCAAATCAAACAAAGAACACTTCATAAACACTAAGCTCTGTGTTGAAGAAAGCCATACTGAACGACATTTAAAAAAAAGAAAAATCAAATACAAGAAACTAAAAAGCAATTGAAGTTGAAAAACTGGTCAACATTAGAAAAGTAAAGAAATAATAATAAAAAGCTACAAATGTTAAGCCTAATTCTGGCTGACTAGAGGTATGAACATGCTAGAAAAAGCTGCTAATTTAACGCTTCCATACCTAGGAAAACATATATATCATTGTCGAGGTATATTCAGATAAATTCTTCTAAATTTCCTGGCGGTGTTCTGCATTATAGTTCGTTGACATTTTTGTAACCAGGATGTAAAAAGTTCAAAACCTGGCACTAATACTCTTGTTTAGACAAAAGTTACATGTCACAACAATTGTTCCATAGAGCTTATACTTGCTTGATCCTGTTTCTGTGTCATGCTCTCCTAAAGTGAGGTTTCACTCATTTTGCGGGGTTGTACTAGTTAGTATGAATTGAGGGATTACCTCCTTTGAATACATTTATGGAATTATTATTAACATGGCTAATCTAGGATTGTGGGATACCACACTAGACCTTTGTCTGACTTGAAAGTATGTTATCATTAATATTCCTTTTCTTCTCTTCCTCTCATGCAAATGTACTTTCTCCAGCTATAGCAGCCTAAAAGTTTCCAAATACAGATTATTAAAATTGGACAGATTAGACAAAGGTCCACTTATATGTTTCATTTGGTGTACAATCAACAATATTGTTTACTCATTCATTTGTATTTGTTTAGTTACTCTAACTGCTGTGTATTGCAGATACTTATATAACTTTCTGTTGGAAAGTAGTGTAGCTGAATACCACACTTGTATGAAACCAAAACTAAAGGTCTTCATTTTCCAAACATATAAAAAAAAGGTAACATTTTAAAACTATTCAATTCTGGCTTGCCATTTTCTTTAATGTAAAACAAAAATGCCTTCAAAATGAGGAAACTTTCAAAAACAGGAGTAACATCTAGATACTGTGTACACAGGAATGAGAACATTCTCTTAAAACAGGATACAACATTATTAACTTATGCAGTTCTACAACAGAACATAACAAGTTCCATAAATAGCTTTACACCTACTGACCATACCCTTCAAGTTTTCGAAAAACTAGTCCTAACCTTTAGGTAAATTCCAGTGGATATATTCAGAACCTGAACAAGTCCTCTGCTGTTTCCAGTCTAATAAAATGGTTAAAGTACTTAAAGTTTAGAGAAATTAAACACTCAGTTAACTCACATTTTTTTCTCATTTTATTTTTTAAATGATAAGTATTTTTCAAGTAAAAAAAAATCAGTTTGAATCAAAATTTTGAAATGAAGCTTACAGGTTTTACTCTCTCAGTGTCTCCACAGACTGCAGTAGAAACAATTTTGTAAGGGCTTTTATTTCACAAAAATAAAACTGCTACTTAAGTTTTATTCTCTCTAAGGTACAATGCATCCATTAAGCAAGCCATAAAGCTTAGTGCAAAAAAAAAATCATTGTTGCATAGTGTGACAAATAGATTAAAATACAACATTTAGACACTGTATAATCAGTGGAAAAAATAATGTAAGTAAATGTGACTGTAATTGTATGTACAGTTAATGAACTAACATTCACTTACTTAATACTATCAAGTATTAATACACCTGAAGAAAAATGTTTACCAATCACTGAGTGTAAATGTATCTTCATTAAACAATAAAATCTGAATTCATACTTCTGTATTTTGTTACCTTAAAAAAAACACTAACTATAGGATACAACCATCATGTTGTTATTT